GGACCTCCGCCTGATTCATTATACAGGGATACACTCCCAGTCTAGCACAGGAGACACACACAGAAATACAGAGACACCAATTTGCAACTTGTTAGTGAAGGGGCAGTAACCTCTGTGGTCGTTCATATTCATCAAAACAGTATAACTGATAAAGAAATTTAGACTGATGAGATTTAAAAGAATTCTTCTTGAAGTAGTAGCAGGTCCCATGATAAATGGATCAGAGAGATCCATATATGGATGCAAATGGGCATTGCTGCCTCCATGATACAAAGCATTAGGTGGACAAGAAACCTTCATCTTTTTGAGCTTATTTTGTCCTACAGTGTTGACAATGAAGGCTAGAGCATAGAATGCTTCCTTTCAGTCAGGCCTCCAGCCAGGATATCCTGAGGGTATGCCTGTCCGCCACTGGCTCCAGCATCCTTCTTTCCAGGGAGGAATATTTGCTACCTTGGGAGGCGGGGTATCCAAGAGGCTGCAAAGGTGCATGAGGACGTCTGCTGCAGAAATCAATGATGATTAAGCACCAAGAGCTTGCAGGAGGCAGTAAGAGAGCAGAGGAAGTCTTCTGAGGCTGCACAGAATCTCGCCTCTGCTCTCGTGCTCCAGCAAGAACATTTAAGATCATTACGGAGCTGTGTTTTCCGACCTCAGGAGGATCATTTAGCTGTATGTTGCCACCTAGTCATTTCTCTCTTAGATTCCTTGGGGAAAACTACTTGTCTCTCCCCTGCCTCAGCCTCACAGACTCAGACAAATCACATTCTGTACTATACAATCCTCCACAATATTATTCCCCTGCCAAAAGCAGATGCAGCTGGGGCTGCACAAGACGTCGGCTCATGCCACAGCTGGGACGAATGCGGAGCAGCAGGGGTGAGCGTGTTTTATCTGTCATCTTCCTCAGGGAGCTGTAGCGATTGGGGTAAAACACCAGGCCGGTGCTGCAGCAGCCGGTCATGGCCTCTTCTCCACTGCACAACGCCTCGAGCCAGCCCATCACAGCGGATCCTATTTAAATGCAACTCCTCCACCAGTTTCCCCCCTCGCCATTAGTATTCCTGTCCCTTCCACTGACACAAAAAAGAGACACAGCATAGAGGAAGTGGCACGCCCTCTTCCTTTAGTCCATTAACAACTTTAGATGCATGAAATGAAGTGAGATCAGAATGGCAGCTGACCACGCTAATGTACATCAAAACTATTAGGTCATGTATTATAATTATTTACTATGCTTTTTAAATTCAATTACTCAATAAAATTGTATAGTTATTCTATAATACTTTAGCTAAAGAATCTTGCCCAAAGTTACCGCTGTTTGGGAGAGGAAGAATTAACTCATCAGGCACTCACATTGAGCTCCTACTTTTAATGTACCAATCTTTTAATTAACGGAGTCACGACCTGCATTCTGCCAGCAAGAAACTCATCAAAACAGAGCGTTCCCTTCGCTGCCTCGAACCATCCAGCTAGGTCCCCCTAGTGGGGCATTTAAGCTAACAAGGCGGAGCTGGGTGTCATTAATGAGGATACCTGAAGGCATGGTGAACAGATCGTCTGAACTCAGGCCTAAGTTCTTACACTGGCTCACTTCAGCTGGCAACAGCAATGAAATACATTTTTGCCAGTTAAAAAAATAAAGCAAAACCAACAGAATTTACATGAACTAATAGAATATACTAAAATGAGCTCTGTATATTCCAGTCAGTAGATAGCTTTGCGATGGTGACACGATGACACAGACACCCTCGTTTGCACCCGCAGCGTGTTTTTCCAGCTCACTGTCATCAACTAGCTCTGAGTCACGCTGATCCTGGTACATGAAAGGAACGGCGTGACGAGCGGCTTCCCGCTGCCACTCTGGAGTTACGAACCCAATGAGGTCACAGTAATTGCTGCTCTCTGAGGCACTGGGCTTAGATTCACCGCTGCCAGTGAAGCTGATTGACATAACGGCGTGTGTTTCATCTTCGCCGGGGGTGGCTGTTTCATGTGCATTTTTCTGCCGTTCCTACAAGGACTGGATGTTCATGGCTGAAATGGTAAGAAAAATAAAATAAAAATTGCAAAATGCTTTTTCAGCATCAGTACAGTTAGGGAACAGTGATCCGAAGCAGGTAACTGAATCGCTGCACAAAATGATATCAGTGTGCTTCAGAGCTGGGGTGTGTTAACACATGTGCCTGTGCTCGTGGTGGGAGTGGTTTCTTTGTTACTGGGTTCCAGTTAGACCTTGCTGGAAAGAAAAGATTCTGCAGGAAGACAGAGCTCTGTTTTGCAGATTGAGGGAGACAGTGCAGGCCACTGATTGGATGGAGATGCGTAATGAAGATTGTGGGAATCGAAGACAGTCACTCCACATCCTCGGGGGCTTTGTAAATTGCACCAGTGCTTTCTGGGAGCTCTCCTCTGCCGGGTGTGCATGCATCACATTGGATGGAAATTCAGAACACCTACAAATACTATAGACAGAGGCAGAGCCTGGTAAGTGATGTGCAGGTGTGACCATCTGACCCTCAGGGATCCCGGCTCCCGTGGTTCCCCCCTGATCTCAGTATCAGAGGTGGTTTCCAACCATCTCTCAAGCTGGCGGGCTGATCCTCCCACAGCGAAGATGAACCCCCCCCCTCTCACTCACACACACACACACACACACACACTCACACTGACAGCAATTAAACATAGGGCTGGAGAGCGAAGAGAATCCACTGGCTGCCTTTCCAACCTGCCCCAGGATTCCATGCATTATTGATTCCACATTTAATAGGAAAACAAGTTAATCTCCTGAGAGTGTCCCAGCTGTGACCCTTTTCCACAGGTAAATGGCAAGCAGAGTGAAATGAATGAGATGTGTTTCATTCCCTCTTTGCCAACCTTTGAGAACAATTCCGTCATGAGGGAGCCGGTGCTTTTATTCGTATCACAGCTACCATTCATACTCCAGCTCTTAAATAAGTTGCTACATTTGTTTGATGTGCTTTAAAGGGAAGATTCTGCCTAATAAGGAGCCTGAAATTTCCTGGCCTTTTCAATCAGGGGCATAGGAACCAGGGGGGACGTGTAACCCCCAATATTTAATTTGGCTTAATTCGCCCCCCACATAAATTGACCACTGCCTTTATATTATTATTAAGCTGTCTCCCTCAATATGAAACTCCCTCCTGCACAAATATTTTCCACATACTGATTTTAACTAAAAGAAAAACAAGATTAAACAGCCCAAATGAAATATGAAAGATTTCTTCTCTAAAGCTTACGTGAGCCACTAAACAGGAATTAAAACTCCCAGCGAACACGGAGCTGCTGAATGTAAGAACTGAACAAACACTAAGCACTGCGGTGTCATGGAACTGTTTACAGAGACGTATCATCAGGGGTTTATAAAGCAACATTTACAGACCTATCTGCCTTCAATATTAGGGGGGGGGCTCCTTGTGTGTGTGTGTGTGGGGGGGGGCATTCCACCAAATCCTCATTCTCTAAGATCTACAGACAGGTGTGCTTTCTTTGTTTCTAGCAGCCTGGGCTGTGGCTTTAACGCAAGCCTAGTATCTCTTTGCTGTTCTGCTGCCCCAGCTTCCACACCTGGGCTTGTTTTTTTTTTCTTGCCCTCTCTGTATGCATCTCAATTTCTCCTATTGGCTATTATGCAGTGGTGAACCTATTCCCACCCAACTTGTAACTACTGGAAAAAAACCCTAATAAACTGACATGGCCTGTCCAAACCGCTCCTGGGAGTTTTACTTCAACAAAAATGTTCTGAGGACAGAATGAATCATGATTGGTTAGGAGAGATAACCACTCAGCTTTAAGAGGATGTGGCCCAAGCAACTAGAGGAGGCAGGACCAAGACATCTGATTGGTCATTTAGCTTGGACCCACCTCTACAATGTGATTGCTGATCTCACTGAACCAATCATTCTTCATTTTGCCCTGAAAACATTTTTGTGTAGGTGAGTGTCCAAATCCCACTGCTTTGTTTCCATCAAAGCAGTGGATGTATAAGTCAGTGTATATAGGCAGGGTTTTAATGAAGCCATTCAGGCTTAAATAGGATGACATGGTGACTCAGTGGGCAGCTCTGTCGCCTCAGGCGACGTCTTGCCCCCGCTCTGTGATCTGAAGCCCGCATGTTCCCCCCATGGCACGTCAGCTTCCTCCAGCAGTCCACATACATGCATTTCAGTGAGTTGAAATTGTCTGTAACTGTTTAATTCTGTGTGCCTTGTGCCCAGTGCTGCTGGGAAAAGCTCCAGCCCTCAGCCCAGTACTGGATAAACATTTGGAAGATGACGGATGGATATACACACAATAGGGCAAAAATGTAATCAATTGTTGCAACAAAGATAAATTGCACTGCCAATGTTGAGTTCTAGTTAAATCATTATGGGCAATACTAAAATATTTAAAGGGCAACCTACACATTAACGTGATATTCATCCACAAACATCTTTTCTAACAGTTTCTGGTATAATGGGGTTTTTCCTTTCAGTGTAATTAATGTGCAAAGCCTGTATGTTTATTTTGGGCTATGACGCAGATAGCCCAACAGCTTCATAAACAGCGCTTTTACCAGCAATGAGCCATTCCAGCATAGTTTCAAATATTATTTTAAGTGAAATAACCAATATTGAGAATATACTGATGATCAATCTCGCTGTGAACTTTTGATACTTAGAATGGCCAAATGGTTTTCACGGCTACCCACTATTTAGGTTGAAGCGGGAGAGATTTTGGAAAATGGGATTAAATGGCCCAGGCTCTGAGTATATTATGAACCACACCACATGCGTGGCAAAGAGCATAAACAAACACACTCCATCTCCTCTCAAGCCAAGGCCTTAGAGACTACTAGCATCAAACTACTGACAGCTCCAGTAGTCCAGAAATGTCATGGAAAACAGACAGTTCTCCTCAGGGATGTTGCTCAAGACTGATGGTAGTCCAAGAGAGATATTTTGATCTGAGCAAACAAAGATCCACTGGGGTTTTCTAAGTTTAGATCTCAGAAAATGTTTATTATTTCACTGTCATCTCCCACAGACATTTAACCTCACATCACATCATAATACAGACATAGATTTAAATAAGACCCTGGCATTTGGTATTAAAGAGGGCAGTGCACCACATATAGCCATCCATTTATTTTTACGTATCCATCTGTCACTTAGTCACATTCACACACCATCCCCTAGCTCAGGTCTATTCAAATCACGGTCCTCGAGGTCCGAGCACTGCTGGTTTTCCAGCCTTCCTTTACCTGTGAGCCAGGAGTGAAGCCTCTGACCAATCAGAATCAGTAATCATTAAACTAACTACCTGGGAGAACTGAAAACAAGGCCTGCATTTGGATTCGAGGGCCAGACTTGAACAGCCCTGACCTAGACGGTCACACACTGGTGGAAATTCAAGTCAGCAGGTCACCCAGACGGCCTGCCATCAGGCGAGGAAGACATGATGTAAGCTCCAGACATGAGAACAAGCCTGCATCACCGATGGCGCCAAGGGAACCAGAGGCGGTCCAGAAAAACACCATGTGCATGAAGAAGAAAAAACAACGTTTTAAATAAACCGGGAAGGTGAGAAAGAGTATCATCTGTGCAGTGTCACATGGGAGGAATCTTTTCCAAGCTGACAAAGATATTAACTATCGGAACAGCTAAACTCCCGATTGCAGAAGGAAACACACATAGGCGTACAAAAAACTTTAATCAGTGAAGTTTTAATTGGCTTAGTCATGTCATTTTATTATAGGACTGGAAACTATAAGGGAAAGTAAGAGTTATTCCCCCCCACGAGAAAACACCATACGTACTGGAGGTACATTAATTCTGTAAAAAAATGGGCAGCATGCACTATTCTGTTGACGGGGGAACAAGTGTGCCCATCACCCAAACACAGCCTACGGAACACTTAGCTGGTGTCCATTCACAGTCCAATCAGGCAGGACAAGCCATACGATCAACGGTCCCCTTGGGAAGATATCAGCAAGGGACAGGGACCCGCATCTATTCTCCGACACACCAGTGGATGCCTCCTGACTGGATGGAAGCGTGCCAAGCGTGTCTCCAGGTTCAGACCACTAGGGGCAGTATACATCACAGCTTCACAACATGGGCCTGCAATCTGTTTTAGTCAAAGCAGTTTTAAATACTCTTTTGTACATATACACAGTTTTGCCTTGAAAGTGTATTTGATTACAAACATATAAAAATACTTGTTAACTAGTCTGATAAGAAAATAATGTATAAAAGTATATAGCAAACACAAACATTCAATTATCATTCAACATTTTCTTTATATATTACACAATGGTCAAATGCACCATTACATAAGGTCCTCTTTATGGTTTAATACTTCAGAGGAAGACTAAACCAATGGTGAAACCTTGCAAAAAAAAAATCACGGTGAAAACAGGCCCACAGACACAAAGTGTGGACACCACAAATGAGCCCAAAACAATAAGGTTCTTCTTTTGGCCTAACCAAAATCCTCTCGGACAGCTCTTAAAGGGAAACAATCCCAAATGAACTAAGTATGACATGGAGGTACCTAAACTTCCCGGATATCTCTTAAACAGAGGTGGATTTTAGCTATGCTGAATCCCTGCATGGATACCAAACCAACATGGCTGCCTTTAAAGTTTCTAAAAGTAAATAACAGAGATGTGTTCTCCTAATTCTGCTTCTCAGCAGTTGTGTTTGTTTCGGCATAAATACTCAGCTTCTACCTTAAACAGTAGTTTAAGTATAAATAGTAAGTAGAACCTTCTATAGAGAAAATAGAATTAAGAAATACAGGATCAACTTCGGATGTCAGTCATTACAACAAACGAATAAAATGGGCAATATCCTTCATTTGAGATACGGAGTAGCAGAAGGCCGGGAATCTCTGCATCTTGGTCTCGTCTTGGTAACGAGGTTAGCGTGACTCTGCTTGCAAGTAAAACGAAGCGGCCTGCTGGAACACACAAACACTGTGGACTTCACGGTTCATGGTGTAGGACCAGCGGGACCTGGCCATGCGGCTGTGTCAGTGTCAGAGCCAATTCACGTAAATCACAAGGGATCTATACTTATGTACAGTAGTCGAGTAACACGCGCACGCACACGTGAAAACGTCGTGACATACACGTCTGATTAGCACACCTCACTGCAGATGGCAGCTGTAAGCTACCTTCAGCTAAAAACAATTCTTTTTAAATCAACATCCCACATATCTAGTCACATTGTTGTCAGTCATTGTGTTGAAAATTACAAACATGCCGCCAGGGTAGAAAAATGTGAAACTGTATAGCAGTTTTAAAAAGCAGCGATTAGTGTCGTGAGGTCTCTGTGCCCACTGGCAGGCAGGCGGTTGGGCGCCCACCCATTCATGCTCGCTGATTTGTTTCTTGGAGGGCGGGGGTCCCGAGTTAAGGCTGTCATGGGAGCCTCGGCATTCTGGCCACCAGGTGCCAGAGCGCAACGAGGATCCACGTGGGAAGTGATGTCAGAAGGGAAGTGGGAACGAGGCGTGGCGGAGACAGCGGAAGAGTGAGGCGTGGATGTGGGTGGGGTAGGGGATGTGGGCGCGGTAGGGGATGTGTCCAGTCAGACAATCACGCAGTGGCAGCCGCTGTTGTCCTTCTCTTTGCGGGTGGGTTCTGGCGAAGGTGGGCATTCCTGTTCCTGGAACTTCCTGTGTTGAGAGAGGATGGCATGTATGACAAACGATTTGTTTATGGTGTTTTACTTTGTATGCGTCGGGGATGGCTCCTTAATCCCCAGACCGACGACACTGAGCTTTAAGCAGCCTGAGGAGCAGTTCCCCAGAAACTCACTCACCTTATTACTCTAACAAGCTCATGAAAAGCTTGGTCCACGTTCATTCGGATCTTAGCAGAGGCCTCCATGTACGTGACTTTGAGCTGCCGGGCCAGTTGCTGGCCTTCCTCCTGAGTCACCTGAGAATGAAACACTTGACATTATGCTCACTGTGTTTAGCCGGGAACACGAAGGGAAGTCATTCTGTTTAACAGAGTGGGGAACGGGTGATTAATGCCCTCTTCCGGCACAGTTAGAATATTTCACTTCAGAGTCTTTACTCCAGAACATTTTGAGCCAATGCAACATAAGTGAAAACTGACTGAAGTCTGTCAAATGGAACCAGAAATCATTCCTACCTGTACTACCTGAATATCCTGGGTGAGGTATAGATTTATTAAGCAATAGCACAAAACATTAACAAAAGACCTAGGTAAAACATAGTAATGTAGTTACAAAATCATTAACAATCAAATATTAATAGCTTTTTACTTTTGTTTTTTTCCATTACTTTTATTGTTATTTTATTGGCATGTGGAGCGCGACACGTCTTGTTTCAATTATGTTTGGGTAGCTTTGGGTTTCCCCAGCTTTCCCATCATGCCTGCATATAAGGAGGAGCTTCTAGAAGGTAGCAAAGCCCGGGATCACAGTGCGGGGCTTCGCGAGCCACCGGAGGCAGGCGGCAGGTGTCTGCAGCAGAACCGCTTACCTTTTAAGCTCTTATACGCTGAACTGAACAATTCGATTTCTATTAATATATCTGGTGGCACCTGAAGGTGAAAACGTCCATCTAACCTTGGTTAAAGGGATTTTAAAAACCCTTTGAAGCCTTTGAAGGTGATTTTCAGAAGCCTTCTCAAAGCACAGCAAACAAAACTTGACATTACTGCTCTTAATCAATCCATCCATCCATCCATCCATCCACCCATCCATCACTACTTCTCCATTACAGGCTAGGATCACAGTGATCCAATAGCCTATCCCCAGAGGCACCTTAAATGGAACACCAGTCCGTCACCCATTACCATGCTTAATACTGCACGTGTACATTTAGTTGCTTACAGTCCACTTTAATGTAAAGCCACATCTGCCCATTTTCTCTGCTGCATATTTCCATTGAGCATAAGTGCTTAAAACCCCCATACAGCACTAGCACACTGCGTCTCAGACCTTGGATCAGCAGATATATTTATACACTTTCTTTCCACAAGATGGCAGTGCAGTGTCACCCTCTGGCCCCATTGAAGCATGGTTGCCATAGCAAACAGGAACATTTCCTTTTCTCCATTCCTCTGGGGACCAGTTCTTACTTCCGCAGTTTTTCCTTTAACGATTTCCTAATCTAACAATTTCCATCTGTGCTTAGGGTACCAGAACAAACTCACTAAACTCATCAGCTCTTACGGATAGGGGCGGTTTACTGTATTCCCCTTACTTTCAGGTAAATGCAAAAATAAGAGTAATTTTTGTTAACCAGGTTTACATTTTCAGGACAATCACAGGAAACCCCTTTGAAATCCAGTTTTCATGAGCAGAAGTGCACTGGTTTGCAGTTTCAGACCTCCAATCTGTCTACATTAAAACATCAGGCAGATACACGTACATAGCAGAAAAATCAGCTGTGAGAGCTGACCCCCCCAGAGAAGCATGCCATACCACTCACCTGCCTCTGCAGCTCCAGGTCGGCCTTATTGCCCACGAGGATCATGGGAAACTCGTCGCGGTCTTTTACTCTGAGGATCTGCCTCTGGAATTTATAAATTTCCTCGAAGCTGTGGAGCAACAGAAAACGGTGCCCCGTGGATTACCGTGAGGCCGCAGTGACACAGACACGCGGGGAGAGGCACTCGTCCACACGGTTGTTCCGAGGCGGTTTTCCCTCCTTTTCTCCAAGCCGTTACATAGGGAATGCTGGGTAAACACCAGCATACCGTCACAACCCACGCTCGCAGGAGGGCGAAGAAAGCCACGTTATCGTCTGACGGGCCCCTATAAAAGTCACTTCCTGTTCAATGAGGGCTGTTTAAACATCAAAGCTCAGCTTCTACTCAGCAGCAGGGTAAACACAATGTTCCGGTCAACACAGGAATGAAATCCTGCACAATGGCAGAGCGGAGGACCTGAACGGCGAGTAACATAAACTGAGGAAGGGACGTCTGTTTATGGTGGTACAGTGGGGTTGGGGGTTGGCCCCCGCTTTCCAAAGGGCAGCTCAGTAGCTTTGGTCCTTTTTATGTATGTCACTCAGTGTGACAGTTTTCATAACTTGCATGGTGTTTAGGATGACATGTCCCACAGGGGGGGCATACAAAGCACAACAGGATCTCTATTTTTTTTTTTTTACATTAACGGTGGCTGACCTTAAACAACTAAGGTGGGGAAGGGTGCTGTGTGAAG